TCTCTTTATTACCTTTTTTTCTGTTTATTTTACTCTTCTTTCTTTTGTCAATCTAAATATGGAGAGATGAGGGAGGGAGAAGTTTCCTAGTTTCTTCGTCTGTTATTTTTTCTTCTCTCCACACACTCTCCCTCCTTCCACCTTTCTCGAATTTGACAGCTTCAATTTTCACTCTATGTGGACAGTGAGCACTATGATTTGCTGAGTAACTACACTGTGCTGGACAATTTTTTTTTTTCCATGTTACCGTACTGATCTCACAACAATCCCTTGACCGACAGGACATTTTCCCTGTTCTAGATGAGCGTAGTGGTTACGAATCAGGCTGCGAACCTCAAGATCAGCAGTTTGAAACTACCAGCTGTTTCATGGGAGAAAGATGAGGCTTTCTGCTCCTGTAAAGATTTACAGTCTCCAAAACCCTGTACAGGGTCGCTGTGAGTCAGTTCCAACTCCATGGCACATAACCACCATCACCAGATGAGGAGGTGGAGGCAGAAGTTCTGATAATCTGAAAGGCACATCCAAGATATTCAAGATCACATGATGAGCATGTGACAAAGGCAGACTTTCTGGCTCCAAAGTTCACACTGTTGCCACTAAATAATTCCTCCCAACCCAGGACTCCTGGACTTTCAGTCTCACTTCAAAATCAGTAAATCTGCTCTGACCAGCTTCTCCTCCTGACAAGTTAACTTTCTAAAACCAGTACACCACCTTCCTCTCAATGATGAGGCTCACAATGTCAGATACCTTTGGGCCAACTTTCACTCTCTGGTTGCTCTCTGTATTGTAGTTTATGCCTTTATATGTAGGATAAGCACTGGATTGCCACCAGCAAGGTCAGCAGTTCAAATCCACAGTCCACTCCTCATGAACCCTATCCAAGGTCGCTATGAGTTGGAATTGACTCGACAACACTCAACAACAACAACATCCTGGTGTGCTGCTGTAGGATAAGCATGGAACTGGTAACTTAAAAGCCAACAGTTCAAACCCACCAGTCACTCCTCATAAACTTTATCCAGGGTCACCGTGAGTCAAAATCAACTCGACAGCACTTAACAAGTAGCTATTACAGGGAAGAATTCCAAGCCACTGTTATTTCTCTCTTCTGACACCTCAGTGTTCTGCAAAACTGTTGTTGTTGTTGTT